AGCTATCTAACTTGCCTTGGGCGTTCATACAATCCACAGCGAAATCCACCGGGACTACAGCCATTTTTATAATGCGTCTGCACATTTCACCGTGCACCTTGTCATCGTGCAGCCACGTCCTATGTAGCATGGCTGTTGCTTTCCACCCAACTGCGACGGACTTTGGCCGACATTCCATCCCCTCATGTGGCCTTGGATTCTGGCTGCGTTGAGTATTTTCTGTTTAGCTTCAGCTGACCATTGTGATCCATGCATATTTCGAAAAGTGCAATCTTCCTGGTAAGCTTGCTATGCACAAATATGAGACCTGACCGCAAAGCCAGACCGTATGCAGCGGGCCACCAACTTGCACAGTTGCCTCCATAACTGCGACGAGTCGTACCCGAGGCTCGCCTTGTTGTAGAACAGCCCGCACGTTACACAATTACAGGGTGACTGGTGTGGCAGCCGCGACGATTCCGAGCCAGATCATCTCTGACGCGAGGGGCGGGCGTCCGAGCGCGCCGCCCCCTGCGCCGAGACCGTCTCCGTGCTCTCCAGACTGTCTCCATAATTGGATTACCTGACCAGCCAGCACAGCACCGACCGGTATATAATCTACCCGTCCAAAACCGGCGACGCCTTTATTGGCCGGTCAAAGCAGTGGTGAAACATCCTGGCGAGACACCAGCCACGCCTCGCCGTTTCATGGCCGCTGGAGGGGGGGGGGGGTGGGGCGGGGGTGGAGCGATCAGCTGGTGCCTTCTGCCCCTCCACCTCTGCGGCCGGTGACGGGGATTGTGTACCTGCCGCCTGACCTTCGATTTCTCCGTCTGCTGGCCTGCAAGCGGACGTCAGCAGCAGACGCTGCCCTGCCCCGGCTGCGGACGCCGGGGCGCCGGGGCATCTTGCCGGGGTCAGCCGGCTGACCCTCCCGCCCTGGCTGGTCGGCGGGAGAGGCGGGGCTCCGGCTGCCGGGACGCGACAGAGGGCAGCCCACGGCCGGCCATGACTGGCCGCGTTTCCAGCGCCTGGCCCTGGGCGGTGGCGCGGCTGCAACGGCGTGGCCGGCGCCGGCCGCCCCTCTCGTCTCAGCACCCCCTGAGCGCTGGCCTCTCCCTAAACTCGCCCGGAATGTGCCCCGAAGAGAACGGAGTGCCACACCGCCCTGGGCGCGGGGTGACCCGCACGACTTCCACTCAATAGCCAGCAAGTTCTCCGTTGCGCAAGGACATTTTTAGATGAGCAGGAGGTATCCGACAGCTATGAGTCCTGCGGCGATATATGTCCCCCCCCCCCCCCCCCACCCCCACCCCCTCCCAGTACTGTCGCTGGCACTGACTGACAAACACTGTGTCGGTGGTGACATCCGACGGCCGGAGAGAGGGTGGGCGGTCAGACAGCGGTCGTGAGGTGATAATCACGCCACAGTGTCCGATAGATCGCCTGCGCCCTGCACCGGCCACCATGGTGTCCGGTAGATCGCCTGTGCCTTGCACCGACCGCCACGGTGTCCGATAGATCGCCCGCGCCCTGCACCGACCGCCACGGTGTCCGATAGATCGCCTGTGCCCTACACCGACCGCCATGGTGTCCGATAGATCGCCTGTGCCCTGCACCGACCACCACGGTGTCCGATAGATCGCCTGTGCCCTGCACCGACCACCACGGTGTCCGATAGATCGCCTGTGCCCTGCACCGACCACCACGGTGTCCGATAGATCGCCTGTGCCCTGCACCGACCACCACGGTGTCCGATAGATCGCCTGTGCCCTGCACCGACCACCACGGTGTCCGATAGATCGCCCTCGCCCTGCACCGGCCGCCATGGTGTCCGATAAATCGCCTGCGCCCTGCACCGACCGCCATGGTGTCCGATAAATCGCCTGCGCCTGCACCGGCCGCCATGGTGTCCGATAGATAGCCTGCGCCTGCACCGACCGCCATGGTGTCCGATAGATCGCCTTCGCCCTGCACCGACCGCCATGGTGTCCGATAGATCGCCTGCGCCCTGCACCGGCCGTCTTGATTGCGATCATTTCAGCGAAGTTTATAAGTCTGAATGCCGCTACAGTGGCGGGCATGCAGTCCCGTGACCAGACACACCCAGATGCCGTTCGCTACTTAACTTATCAGGGACAATGTTTCCAAAAGAATCGGATTAACCTTTTTTTTAATGCCAATCCTTCTATATCCAACAGAGGATAAAGTTAAACTTCCACGAAAAGGGGATCACCCATGGCCATGGGCCTCTGTACGTACGCCACGCCTTCTGGGCGTACTCCTTCGCCATACGTTCAGAAGCTCCTCGTCCTCCAGCCAAGACAGCTGGGTGACCGGGCTGGGGCCGGGACGGGAGCGGGGGCCGGGCGGGTCAGCCATCACGGTGTTTTTCCCGGCGCACTCTCCAGCTCACCCTGCTCCGGTCCCTGGCCCGGCCGTGCTGAGGCGGCCGGGCGAAGGGGCCCGCCCTCCTGTCAGCCGGCGGCCATTCTAGGCAGCTGGCCACCCCGCTCGGCCGGTGTCTTCCCCGAACATCGGCGCCGCAGGAGCTGGCCGTCCCCAGCCGACGTCGGGAGCCGGCACAGCGTGCTGACGCATTACAGCCACCGCAGGAGCTGGCCGTCCCCAGCTTTACACGGCCAACCTGGGATCGTCATGCCCGGGGGCAAGGGGTAGGCAGACTGGTCCCCAGTCCCCCTGCGGACTGGTCCCCAGCCCCCCCTGCGGACTGGTCCCCAGCCCTCTTGCGGACTGGTCCCCAGCCTCCCTGCGGACTGGTCCCCATTCTCCCTGCGGACTGGTCCCCAGCCCCCCCCACGGACTGGTCCCCAGCCTCCCTGCGGACTGGTCCCCAGAGCCCTTGTGGACTGGTCCTCAGCCCCCCCTGCGGACTGGTCCCCAGCCCCCTTGCGAACTGGTCCCCAGCCTCCCTGCGGACTGGTCTCAGCCTCCTTGCGGACCAGTCCCCAGACTATTCTGACCGCACACGTGATCTGGAAGTAATAATTCCTTCTCCACCGCCCACGCACATCGCCAGTTAATGCTAGCTCTCACTTGTTTTGGAATTCGCGATCTTACTACCACGGAAGATTAGCAGCTTTGTAGCTCGTGATGTAAGGGCATTAAACAACCTGACGGCATGACGTCACTGATTCGACATCCTGTTGATTAGTGGGCCACTTTCAGGATGTAGCGGGAGGGGCTCATCAGCAGCAAGGCAAGGCCAAAGGAGGGGCACCGAGATCACGCCGGCCGCGATCTTCCGGGTGGCAGCAACGGGCTTCGGCTCAGTGCAAATACGCGTGGGCCTCACACCTCTGGCGCCTCATGAAAAAAACGTCTCAAAGGGATTGGGGCCACCACTGTTTTAGTTGCGTGAACAGGGCTTTGTGATACCTCCCTGAACTGCATATCGCTGCTGTTTTCGCCAGCCGTTCGTTCCACTGTGTGCAATGTTTCTGTACTTAAGGTAAAGCAACGGTCTTGTGGGGAGACCAGCGCGTTACAAGGCCAGCCTACTCTACTGCGGCAGTACTAGAGATCACAGTAGTACGGTACCGTCGACGGACATTGAGCTGCCCGGGCTACCTACCGCGGATTGCTAATACTTTGCGATGGTGGAAGGCCTGCCTGGATGGATCTGTTCCTTTGCGTTGTGAAAAGGGGCCTACGGATGTATTTTAGACTCGAACCTATGAACAAAATTTCGTGCACCTATCGTAAGTCCTTGCAAGATAAACGCAGAATCTTTGACAGGATATAACCTGAGAAAAAAGTGAAAGCGCGCTATTTCCTTAATATCTCAACAATTATATTTTTGTCGGTAAAGCTTTGTAGCGCACGACCT